GAGATGAAAGGAAAGTCAAGGGTGAGCTCACCATCTCCCACCTTCCAAGTCAACTATTCATAGAGCGTGCCCTCCATCTTTGTGGATTGTGAGCCATGAGAATGTGTCAGCTAGTCCTCTGCTTTCCTTCTACAAATCAGTGTGTGCATATTGGAGCATTTCATTCTTTAATACAAACATTTTGAGGGGAATAACCACAGGAACGTGGGCACCACACCCCTAGATTCAATATATACCAACTAAAATTAGATGGGGCTGTAAAGGTGTCTCTTAAAGAATGCAGATGGACATAGCTATGCATATTTTCACTGTGTAGTAAAGTTTTACTTATTATAAAATGTTATTCCATAATCAACATACAGACAAAAACATATCCACTCATCTAAAAAATTACAACTTTAGATATATTAGAGCATTGAACCTCTCTGAAACCCATAAAGATACATAGTATGCGTATTGTCAATTAATTCCATTATTTTATCCATTTCCTTAGAACAATGTCTTCAAACAATTTCATAATTGGTCACATTAGTCATTAAAACATCTGTAATTCTGTACTTTGTCTAGCCTTCTACGCGTTTCATCGAGGCTTCATCAGGAAGTTTTTGGAGGTAGCCTATAAATATTCACATGGGTATGATGGTAAACTCGCAAATAATTCTTATTCAACTTTTTCAATAGTTTACATTAACCATACATAACACAAGTACATCCATTCATAAATACCATCTTTTGGAATTCTAATGATGGGTAGGTCCACCTTTCTGAAGTAACTCTGATCAATCAGGGAGCAGACCATGCTTAGCTACGTCCCTCTGCGTTCTTTAAAATACACCTTTTTTATAGCATCACATTCTTTGGTGGGTTTTGGTTTGTTCAAGAAGTAGATTGCAAGCACCCAAGACTTCCTACCTTTTTGTATTTGTTTTAACTTTGCAGCCTGTATTAACGGAAAACTTTGGAGGTGTAAATTGTTTGCATCCACATATGTCATTTTTTACAAATCTGACGTGATGCATGGTAGGTGTGGGTTTTTTTTAACATTTCACAGGTTATTTCCTTTTTTTTTTTTTCTCAGGGATTGTGCCTGCTGGTTTTGCCTTTCATACCTGCCTCCAACCTCTTCTTCCCTGTCGGCTTTGTGGTCGCAGAGAGAGTATTGTATGTTCCTAGTATGGGATTCTGCATGCTTTTTGCACATGGCTGGAAGAAATTAGCAAGCAAAAGGTGAGCAAAATGTGTTCCATTCTGATAGTTAAACCAACATGCTGTAAATCTCTTCTCAACACACTTCCTTTTGAAAGGAATAGTAGGTTTGATTACTATGATGAGAAAAGCTTCATATAAAATATCAGTCTTGAACTCTCCTCAAATGTACTTTCCATGTCACAGCTATCCTAGTGCTTACATTTCCTGCTTTTGTACTTTACTGATTTACAGCACCTGTATGTTCTATTGTTCCTGCATGGCTTGTAACTGATACAGCTTTTCACAGTATAAGTGCCCTTTTATGGATGTGTGAATTGAGAATAACATGTTTCGTTCTGCAAAAATGCATATAGACCCTTTTCTTTTAGACTTTGCGACTAATGTTATACTTTTTTGCTACTAAGCTTTAATATGTATAATATTTATTACACATATTGCATGACTGGATGATTAAAAACTATTCGAAAGGTACAGGTACATGTCAACTAAATTAATTGGTGATATATAAATGTTCTTCGAAATAAAGACATTTGTTTTATTTAAACTGGTTCATTGGGTTGAGCCCACCAGCTGATTGGATCTAGCCTGGGCCAGAGTCTACTTGCTTAATGGACCCAGCTGGTGAAGGGGCATGGGCCCCATGACATGTTAGTGGAGGTACTCCCTTTCTTCCCTCTTTTTTGCTAACTTTGGGGACATGCTTGCACATTTACATCCCATGGTTCGTGTGGTGCTCACTGCAGAGATTATCATCTCTGCTTGCATCTCTGTCCGCATCTTATTAGTGTGATCTGACGCTCTGTTGGGAGTTTTACTGGTAATATGCCCTGTCAAGTTATCTTATTGGAAGTGCAATGTTATCATTTCTTATTCATTAAAAGGTGTTTTATCTGCAAGATGCACTCTGTTTTGTGTTTCTATTTTTACATGTTGAGTAGGTCTAGCTTAGTGTAGAGCCCACCTGCTGAATGGATGTAGCCTGGTAAGGACTTTTTTTGCCTAATGGATCTAGGCTGGGGCAGAACCGAATCTTCCTGCTGAATGAATCTCACATGAAGGAGAGCTTTCTTACTAAATAGACAGGCACATGCCACACTATCTTGTACAATTCTCTGTAGTGTTCTATATAGCCACAGCATTACTATCTGCCCTTAGAGTAAGTTTGCCATTTAATCTACTAACTGGAATATGCTTTAGCCTAATTTAACATATTGCTCTTAACTTTTTGTAGTACTGGGCATCCTAGCAGCCACAGGCCATGGCAGCCTGGTCATAGTGACCATGCATCTTTAGGGGGGCCTGCTTATAGATTCAGAACCTGTACAGCACAGCCTCATCTAACACACCCACAATGGTAATTTTCTTAGTATGTGATACAAACTAATTAATACCTATAAAGGGTATTTCGATATATAATTTTACTAGAAGCAACTTGTTGCAAGACATTTGATAGCTATATCACTATAATAAATGACTACAGAAATTAATGTGGACAAATTGCCGGTCATTGGGTGAAAAGGCTAAAAAGTCTTCAGCAGACAAACTTTGTTTCCTCCAGACCAGCTGTCTTATATAGAGCAACAAATTGAGTTTGTACAGTTGTGTGTATAGAACTCTCTATTCCTAATTAATATAAATCAGTTATCTCTGTGTAATTTGGTCTGAAGAGCAATATTACATCCTGCCTGTTTTGTATCATAACGATATAGATAGTATAAACTAATTTCCGTTCTAGATTAAAAATTAATAAGCCTGAAAGAATACTGAATGTAATACTGTGCTGTTAACCACATAGGCCAGACATATCTGTGCCTCACAAAGCACTATGTTACATTATCTCTGCTGCAGATTATTATGCCCATCATTTTTGTAAATATTTTCTTTTTCCTTTTGCATTATTTGTTATTTATTATCTTTAGTATACACTTTAGTTCTTTCATTAGGTGTTGATGGTTTCTCTGTTTGTATTTATATCCATGGGGCATATGTGTTGGTTTATTATGTACTCAGCATCTGGGTTATTTGTAAAAGTACTACATTGTGTTGCTGCGCCTTTTATCTGAGTACTAGACACAAATCTGGGGTCTGTTCAAAATAATGAATTTTCTTAGCAGCTGTTCAAATAGGATGGCAACTTCACTGTCTGATGTATACAAATTTCCACTTTGTTGAGATTGATGTTTGCCTTTCTAAGTCTGATTGTGGAGTGTGTTCCTCTTATAGCCCCCAAGTAGAAAGAAACTGGACAGACCTGGCATCATTATAGTCTTAAAGTGGACCTTTACACTCCAAAAATCAAATTCTACCAATGCATCCCTCTATGTATGATGATTAATAATAACATAGACATGTCAGGTGTAAAATGCTGTGATTTTTAAATACTTACACTCGCAGAGCATTCACTTCCTGCTTTGAAAGGTCAAAATGGCTTCAGTTTGCCAAAGCAATGCACACTGGGATTGCCTTATCAGCAGAGCATTGCTGGGAAATCTCATCTGTAATCTTTGGCGATCTCCGGGAAAGGCAGTTTCCTCCACTGAGATGATGTGCATGGTCACATGTCCTAATCACATGTCTAGTCACATGTGCCAGAAATCCAGAAAATAAAAGGAGAGCTAGTAATCTGCCCTTAGTAAACATGGCCACTGTCAGAAGAATGGGGAAGAAAATTGTAATAAGGTATGCAAATAATACAAAGCCGGTAATTATCTAGAAGTATGTGTTTGTAGATTGTCATTACAAAACATTTCTAAAGGTGTGTTTGCTGTTATTTTAAAGATATGAGTAAAGGTCCACTTTAAGACTCTTTACATTATTTCACAGAAACGATACTCATACTGCAACGAGCAGAAAAAAATTGCCGTCTGGAGACGGCAACCCGCAGATGTAGCAGTGCCGTCCGTCCGTTTTTTTACTACGGGCGGACGGCAAGAGGTTAAATAGTGTGCAGAACACCCCAGGGTACCTAGCAAAAGAATAACATTTTACATTATGTAACCAGTTTGGGAAAGTTTTTATCTTTTTTCCAAATTAAAATGGAAAGTTCCTTTTCAAAAAAAATAAAAATTAGCAGATTTCTTGTGTGACAATTGTATGCTTTTTATCAATTTATATATAGTTTTTCCTTAATTCTCTTGTGGAGGTTGACCTGACTATTGAAGTTGCCATCCTTCTCCCACTTTCATCATACAGTCCAACTGTTCATTATGAATTTTCTTTAATGCGGAAAAAAAATTTTTTTAGTATTTCATCTTCAATATGGGCTATGAATATGCCCATATTGCAGATGAAACAAGTCAGTGCCAGGGAAGGAAACATCTGAGTGACCGGGTTCAGTGCCAATAAAGTTTGCCGTATTAAAAAAAATAAAGCAGTGTACAGCCTGAACTTTCACATTTGTGGGAAGGAGATCTGTCCCTCAAAATAGAGCACCAGCAGCTGGTCGCTGTTTAGTCTCCTAGACCAGTGTCCTTTGCATTAGGTTGTGTTCCAAGTACACAAATCGGCAATCCTGGGTGTCGTGATGGCCCAAATGCAAAAGGAACATGGTTGCTATGTACTGTGAACATGAGTTTGTTGTGAAATAATCCTAACGTTTAGTTGCTTGCGGTAAACAGATCATATTCATCAATCTCAACATATCATAGCTTTGGATACATTTAAATAGGGAAACAGAAGCTTGGCAAGCACAAGAGATGGGCCATGGGTTTTGTGGTATGATCTTCCTGCTTTTGGGCCTCTGGTCATTTCTGTGGTGATAAAGGAATGTACTATGCATGCCTTTGTAACCATCATGGTTGATAAGTTGATATAGTTATTTTGTATGTGAAACGTTTCTTCTTTTTTTTTTTAATCAGCATTGTATTTCCATAAGCAGACAGAGGCTTCCAGACACTTTGGATTGTACCGTAAAATTGGTCTACTTATTATTGCAAAGTCAGAACAGTAGATTAGGGTCATTATTGTGATTCTGATTACACAATTCCCATAGGTTTGTCTGTTTCCCACCATAATAATATAGAACTATCTTTGTTAATTAACTGGCGTGCCTTGTGTAATATATTCAGTTTCACAATGTCAGTTTGTAATAACATTGCCCTACGGATCAGAGCAATACTCCTTGGCATAGCGTTCATTCACAAAAGCACATATATTTATCTGCCTGTGTGGTATTAAGAAACACTAGGTCACATTTTGTGTCTTCATTCATTTGTGTATTCCCTTGTTCTTAACAGTGGATTGAGAAAGCTCTCCTGGATATTTTTAGCTCTGGTGCTCTTCACTCATGCTGTAAAAACATTCAACAGGAACTGGGACTGGGAATCAGAATATACATTGTTTATGTCTGCTTTGAAGGTAAAGTATTTCTTCTGGAGCATGCAAGATTTAAATAGCTGATCTCACTGCAATTTCAGTAGCACCAACAACTGTCCATTGCACTTTTCCTCATAGGACTAGTCAGTAAAGTTCATGGTTCTCAATAATAGCTATTACATGTAAAGTTGAGGTCAGTCATGACATTTGTAACTGACTTAAGGGAAAAAGGTCAGTTATTTATACAGTGTGTATTTTTATGTTCTGTTTAATGTTTTGGCTAGATTCTTACTTTTAATTAAAATAGTTGACAGTAATGCTTGTCTGGGACTAAAAAGCTGGCGTGAAGTATAAAGCACCCCGACCCAATGTATTAAAAGCTTATTATATCCAGTAAGGCAATAAAGTTGATGTTTTCGCACACAGCCAAGTACCAAACACAGAAGGTGCATCATCCTTCATCCATTTACTGCCTAGTTAAACCAGAGCTGTAGTATGTTGACCCTGTAATACATAGTTTGAGCTGTTATGTCTGTATAAAGAAAGGAGGTGCAGATAGATTAGTCGGGGCTCCGTGCTGTTACTATAGACACTAAGTGGTTACCTCTTCTAGCCCCCAAAAAGTCTTCTTATGAGGTTGTGGGTTACATGGTCACCTCCTAATTAAAGCTGAACTCCAGCCTTGCTTTCAGTCTTGCACATTTGTAGAGACTCCTCTCCTGTACTGAAACTGCTTACTCAGATTTCACACTGAGAGCTTCTCATGGTGCAGATTAAAAGCTGCAGCAAGTCAGAGCCCATCTTATTTATTGGTTGGAGGACATCCAGCACTATCTAGCCCTTTCCTCTCCTGCCTTGGCCCGCCCTTTTCATTCATTGGATTTCAGTTTTTCAGATCTTGAAGGTTCAGCATCACATGTAGGGGTTCAGTTTTTCAAATCATGGAGGTTCAGCATCACTTATGGGTGTTACATAGTGCAGCCTGCATGCTTTAGTTAGTATCACATGTGGACGTTGCATAGGGCAGTCTACATGCAGGGAAGGATTACAAGGTCTAAAGCCAATAAAAGTTGTGCATCTGGAAATTTACCCTGGTGCGATGAAATGGATAGAAGCTGATCATTTTACCAGAGGTTGTGTAGGAGGTGAGGGCTATACAAAATGCAACAATTACCCATATCTCTACCAGTCAAGGTGTACAGTATATGTTTCAAAATATGTAAGGAATCTGCTGGCTGTTGGTGACAGCTCCAGGTTTGGTTTCTTTTTTTTAAATCCAGACCCTTTTGTTTATCCGACTTAAAGCAAAACATTTTTAATTAACCCTTGCAGTGAGGCTACCCCCGCACTGCAAGGGTTACCTGCTCATTTGTATCTAGGTAAAAATAAACAAAGATATACTCCCCCAATACCTTACCCCAAAGCTTAGATATACCCTACCGAAAGCTTAGAGCCGGCTTCTTCTTAGACCAGTCCCTGGAATGTCTCTCCCTCTCCTCTGCAATGTTTTTAAGGTAAAGTAAATCATCACGTTTAAAAACTGTGCATAGGCATGAGGACGCTGAGGAAGATTCCAATTTGCTGCAGAGGAAGGGACAGACTGGAGGGAGCGCCATGACAGCTGGCTGGCTTGGAGCTTTGGGTGAGTGAATATTTTTTACCCTAGGCACAAAAGAGCACTTAACCCTTGCAAGGTGGGGGTAGCCCCACTTCATGGAGTTAATTAAAAGAAAAACATTCCCAGAGTTCTGCTTTTTTAAACTTTTTTTTTTTTTTTTTTAATGAAAGCGGTAATTTGACTTTGTATCAGCCTCTCGTGGTCCCTCTATGTACAGCAAAACTCAGAGAGAAGAGGGAGAAGCAGCACAGGAAGCCAGTCAGGTGTGCTGCAGGGTAAGGAACATGCTGATAGGAGAAGAGAGTGCAGTGACGGAAAGATGAGTTCATCAATGTGCTGCGTCTTCTTTCACTGTCTATCTGTGTTTTTACCAGTTTACTTAAAGCTTAGCTTTAATGTATTCTATGTTTATAAAATTTTAAGCAAAAAGAAAATTGAGGTGTTGCTAGCAGTATCTAGTCAGATTTCAGTCAGTTTGTAGTGTAGGGGTAAAAAATGAGCAGATATTTAAGTACGCCACTTCAATTTTTATTTCTCTTTTGCGTTTATTCATGAGGTCCACTATTTGCACTGTTTGGCTTAAATAACCAGGTTTTTCTCTGCTCTATAAAGTTTTTAGCAACATTTTTATCTTTATTTTAAAACATTTGCTTGTTTTTTTTGTTTTGTTTTTTCTCTTGGCTTCCTACGAATAGGTAAACAAAAATAATGCAAAGCTTTGGAATAATGTTGGCCATGCACTGGAGAATGAGAAGAATTATATAAAGGCCCTCAGGTTCTTTAAGCAAGCCACACATGTGCAACCAGGTCAGGACTGTGGTATAATATTGCACTTTAGTCTGTATCTTTACACATATAGTATGTTAAACCTGTGTTAAACATGATAATGTTATTCTGTGTGTCATAGATGTATGGTCTCTCCATTCCTACTTTGCATGTAAACAGCACCTGCACTGAGCATGTTCTTTCTGCCAGGTGCATATTGCATTCCAGATTCATGCTAATGTATGCAGTTTTGCATCATAGTGCTTTTTTCACAGGATGATTTTTCAACTTGGGGATATAACTGCCACTTCATGGAGGGTTAGACACTACACAAATTAGAAGGGCACAGCCCCATCTAGTGACTTTAACCCTGCACATGCACATACGTTTAGTTTAGCAGGGGTAAGGTGTCTCTCTCCAGCCCTGCTGCCCTTAGCAGTAGCCTGAGCCTCGATCCACACCTTACTAGGTTCTATTGTGTGTCCCACATATTGAAGAATAGAGTCCTGTGTTCTCCACTGAACGCTAGGAGAAAAAAGGATTTTTGTAATTGTACATTACAAGACACAGAATGATAATTCTAAAACTATGGGTTATATTGCCACTTTTAAGAGCTTGGACACTATGTTTTATACAAGTGATCTGATCAGGTCACTTGTAGAAAACGTACAGCAGCTCCCCATTGTACATTTAGCTCTGCCTGCCAAAACAGGGCTAAATGTACAAAAAAAAAATACCTGGCCGTCACCCGGAACTGCATGTCCTGGGCATCGGGCGATAGGAATTCCACGCCTCTGCACCTGATCTTCAGTTCACACATTACGTTTTACCGGGTGGACATTAGGGCCTCAACAGATGCCGGCTTTGGTCGTAAGGTTCTTCAAGCAACCTTGTTGGTTGTAGGGCCTTGTTGGTTCCTTGTCTTTTTTTCAGGCCTGTTGCCCCCCTCTCTTGCTTGTACTGCTTTTGGACTTTCTATGCTTTCAGAATCGCCATCTTGTGTTCTGTAGTGTACACTTAAGAAAATAGAATTTTGGCCTTATCTTTTCTTGGAGTATATTACAGGATACAGGTTCCTCCCCTCTGTTTCTTATGATTCAATCCTTTTTCACTTGCTAGAAAACTGAGGCTCTCTGGGAGTGAGAGGGCTAATACTGGGCTGTCCTTACAGCTTTGCGCTGCCAGTGTCCAGTCTCCTGAAGGTGGCAGTATAGCCCATTGTTTTTAGAATTACCGTACTGTAGTCCAAGTAAAGGATTTTACAGGTAAGACATAAATCCTTGTTTTGTTCCTACCATAAAGTTATTTTTTTCTGGTAATTCATTGGAGGACACAGCTCTGTTTCCCGACAAGTGTTTTTTATGTTGCTTGAAAGAAAAAGCATTTGAAGCAAAACCTCTCTGCAAAAGACCTCAGCTACGGGCTGTGAGTTTGAATTATGCTCTCTTAAAGAACTTTTGGTTGCTGAAAAATCTTCAGCATGTGACAAACATCAGTGTGTGTTGGATGCCTGCTACACTGCTGTGGTTCCACTCGCTGGCTCCTATGTCACTACTGTGTCCTGTAGGGTTGGATTCACCATGCATGGCTAGGAGTACAGATATCCACACAAATGGAAGTATCGGATGCTGAAGATTCTGCCAAAAGCTGTAACTCGTAAAGACATCACAGTTAGCTGGACCTCCGAAAGGTCATTTGCAGGAACTTATTTTTTATTAGGGATGTTCAGATACCAAGTACCGTACTTTGTACAGGTAAAAGAACAGATACTTTTCCAGCTCCAAGACTAACCTAGAGAAAAACTCAAAAGTAAGGAGATGCAGCTGTCATTTCTAAGGAGCATTGGCTACAGGGCTGATTTGTGCATCGCTGTTTTAATGTATGATTTGTTTTTATATCTATATCTCTATATATATAACATTTTTTCCAGACCAAGTACAAGTACTGATACTTGTCCAAGTACTCACAGATATCAGTTACTGATACATTCTAAAACAATACACACTTATGATTTCAGGACCATGGTAGAGTTCTAGAGCCCAGTCACAGCTTCAACTGCTACAGCTCTGGTAGTTCTCATGAAAATGCCAAGTAGCGGCACTGGTATCGGAACATCCTTAATTCTTATCCTCCTTTTTTAGATGTGCAGAATTCTTGGCATAGGTCTTCATAAACTGCTTGCAATAGGGATATTTATTAAATTGATAATTGATAAGAAAAAATGAAGCATACAAACTCAGTACTTTTGTAGATGTAGTAGCAATAATTAAGCTAGACATATAAATTAGCTCTGCTTTAATATTACTAAAACATGAAATCGGAAGACTTTGATGTCATGTCTTATCAGCATTGCTTATATTCCACTTCTCAACTCATGACCCATAAATAAAATATTTGGAAGGTTTTCAATGTGTAGCACCCAAAACAAACAGACTGTAACTAATGCCATGTCCAAGCCTGTGGTTTGTTTCAAATCCTGAGGTTGCCTGTGAACTGAAGACCCCAAATGATGGATAAATTGAAGTAAAAACATGCTGACATTTTAAAAAGAATACAGTTTAAACAATCTTGTTCTTTAAGCTATGCACTGAAAAATAGTCCTCTATACATTTAGCCCAATAATCTAATTAATGGGTTCACAGTGTTGTTCTTGGCAGGGATCTGTTCTTTGCCTCTGATTTATCTTTTTAAAGCCAGAGCTCTGAACTAACTGCAGCTGTTTAGAAATGTTCCCGTCCATTTCAATGTATATTTCATTTAATCCTGCTAGCTGTAGCCATAAATTCCTTAAAGTTCTAAATTATGTGTTTGAATACATTATGTGTGTGTGTGTATATATATGTATATATATGTGTATATATATATATATGTGTGTGTGTGTGTGTGTGTGTGTGTGTGTGTGTGTGTATATATATGTATATGTATATATATATATATACATACACACATACAGTTTTTTGCCTAGCGTCAGGAGTAAGGAGCTAAGAATTTTTCCTCGGTATTCTTACCTGCTTCTTCCTGATTTTTTTCAGAGCTGGTCAGCTGACCAGGCTTCCAAGAAGGCTCTGACGAGCTCCCCTTTGCGGGGGAGCGTCTGTTCGGGGCTACTTTGGATGAGATCATTAAGGATCTGACGGGCGGTAAGAGTACCTTCCTGCCTCAGTCGAAAAAGCCCAGGGACCAGCGGCGGAGGCCTGGTCCTTCCTTTTCCGCTCACAAGCGGCTTTTTCGTCCGCCTCCGCCCTCTGAGAAGGGCGGGAAGTTCAACAGGCCGACGCCTTCCCAGGCCGCCAAGCGGCCCTGGCAGCCCAGGAACGCCAAGCCCCAGGGTAAGCCCCCTCGGCATGAAGACCTGCCCCCATCCCGGGATTCCAGGGTGGGGAGACTTCTTGGGCTCTTTGCGGGCCGCTGGCTGTCCCGCGTCTCCGACACCTGGGTGCGGGAATTGGTGTCCTCGGGCTACAAAATCGAGTTTCTGTCGCGTCCCGAGGACAGGTTTTTCCCTTCCAACATCCGTCTCCCTCCACAGCGCCTGGCGGACCTTCATGGTGCGGTGGCGGGTCTTTTGTCCCAAGGGGTGGTGATTCCGGTTTCCTCCTCGGAGAGGTTCAGAGGATTTTACTCAAACCTGTTTACGGTGCCAAAGAAGGATGGGGTCCGTCCCATCCTGGACCTCAAGCGGTTGAACGTCTTTGTGCGCGTTCATCGGTTCCGGATGGAATCGATCCGCTCTGTGAAGTTTTTTTGTGCCTAGCGTCCTTCTCCTGCAGGTGGCGATATTACCCTACAGTACATGATCTCCGATCTGTTCCCTGTGTCCTTCAATGAACGGAGAGAAAAGGATTTTACGGTGAGTACCAAAATCCTATTATATATTATACATACACACACACACTACGTAGTAGCACACCCATGAGTTCTGTAGTACTTTAAATTAGAAGTAGAGATTTACAGTATTAATGGGCAAATATGGCTGCCCCCTACAAATATATATAATTCTAAAAAGCATATATAAGGTTTTTAAGATGTTAAAATGCCTTGAGAAAATCTATACTTCGCTGAGCTCTTTCAAATACATGTTGAAATATTCTACATTCCCTTTACTAAAGTCACCCAGTTTTCGTCAGCTGAAAGTTTTTTAGAATGGAGCCCAGAATGGTTCTTCCCAATCTATAATACTAGCGTCTTACAGTAACCTACAGGGAAATGGGGAGATCTCCAATGAAGAGAACAGCAGACTGTTTTGGAAGAGAGTCTTTAGATCATCTGTTCCCTTCTATTTAGTGTTCTGTAGTCTTCGCTAATATGGTGGCTGTATTGTCCTTTTCTAATAATTCTCTGCAAATAGAAACATTTAAACCTTATCCCCCGATTCCTTAAAACTGACTTATGAAAGGGTTATTACATCTACATACCCAGAAATGACTTTTACCATATTTAAAAACTCTCATAGCAAAGTAAACTCTTCACCCTTTTGTGAATAACCCTGACCATATTTTTTTCAATACTCAGGTGTTTTGTAACTTTTTCCTTTCAGATGATATAGGTGCACATATGAATGTGGGAAGAACATACAAAAATATAAACAGAAGTAAAGAAGCTGAAGAGTCATATTTAATTGCAAAGTCATTAATGCCACAGGTAAAATAAATATTATGCTTATTTTATGCTTTAGAAATATAGTGCAGTTAATTTGACCAGATAATCACCAGAACTATTTTTGCATTTCTGCTATCGGGCAAAAAATAACATAGTTTCTTATGATACGGAAGTAAGCTTTTTTTTTGAGGGGGGGCAAGGCTTTCTTTTCAAAGTAATCTATTTGTAGTTTTATTTTCTATATATTTTAATAGCAGATCACCACAACACATGGTAATGCAGTACTAAAATGGTGAATGTCCTTTTTTAGTTTGCCTTTATGTGTTGCCAACACATTCATTTAAATAGGATGTCCAACACAACGCAAAGACGCTGACGCACCACACTAGGATATCAAAGTTTGAATGAGCCCTGCTGCCCCCTGCCATAATAAAGGTTCTACCTGTTATAGAGTAACAGTGCTCTACACCTGTTTCTCAATTATCTTGTTACCAAGCTGTCACTTGATTTCCCAAAGAACACTACAAGCTGCCTTTCTGACACACATTGCACAAGTATGATTCACTATTTTCAAGATATGATTCACTATTTTCAAGTGCCATGCAGAAGTTGCTGGAGTGCATGCATGAAGACAGAAAGGCTGCAGAAGGTTAGTGTGAGCCTCTCCTGCCTTCACATTATCAGGCCATTTCCACGCTTTGCAGGACTGAACTGTCAAACTGACAGCTCGGTCCTGCAGAATACACTGGTTCCAGTAGCTGCATATAGCAACTAACGGTTCGCTTAATTTTCTCACCTGTATGTGAAATAACTGATATTTTTGAGTTTCATACCACCACTTTTCTTTAATTATATGATCCATAAATATAAGTATTTTTACCCTTAGATGCTTCTGTAAGCACAACTGCTAAACTTTTGTTCTGTGTCAGGGTCCCATCCTGACTTAACTGATTTGCAGCATTCTGGCTTGGCTGCCATTTTACTCACCTGTGATTCCTCCTTTGTCTGAGCAGACTCTGTAAAGGTGGCCATACACTGTACAACCATCGCAAGACCTTAGTCTTGCGATGGTTGTACAGGGATTAAAAAAACGTATGATCTGCCTATCTTGGACAGGCAGATCGCACTCTCGATCATCGCAAGACTATGCGATGACCGCAATGCTGAACGGGCAGTGTGCGCGTGCGCACACCGGCCCGTTCGGCATTTGTCTTCCGAGCACCGTTCTAACCAGCCGAGAATCGTACGATTCCCGGCTGGTTTTCGAACATGCTGGTTCGACGGAAGACGTGCGACCGTATAGTAGAAACGGTCGCACGTCAGACTTGGGACCGTATAGTAGAAACGGTCCCACGTCTCCGTTCACACTGCTCGATTCTCGTACGATCGCGGGATTTCCCGCGATTCTCGTACGAGAATCGAGCAGTGTATGGGCACCTTAACATTGCTCACTACTCACAGGCTCCCTCTTATAGCCAAACAGTAGAGCATCATCAGAGAGAGCCAGATGGGAGTTTTCTGTCTCTGATGATAATGTCACCCCACTCACTATATAAACCACTCGGTCCAGTCTGACCCTGCCCTTGCATGGTCTTACCTGCTAGTGCATTCCTGCTGCTCTGAGTTTTCTGATTCTATGTATGACCCGATCCTCGCTGGCATTTTACTCTGGTTCCTGTTCCTGGCTTGTTCCTGACAACGCTGATCTCAGTGTTCCTGACCTGGCTTGTATGACTACCCACTCTGGCTCCTGACTTTGGCTTGTTCCGGTTTATGATTTTTGCTGGCTCCTGTGGACACTGTTCTTAATAAATATTTTAACTAGCACCTAATGCTTGTCTGGTTTTCACTGTGCTCTGACAGTCAGGCCCTCAAAATCATGTGGCCGTTGTGTAATATCAGGGGAAAAAAAGCTAGTTCTGCTGTAATTACTGATAAAAGTTTTTTGTACAGACATTTATTTATAAAAATATTGCTTACAGATACATATATTTTATGTTTCTAATACTCTTATTGTTGTACCATATCCCAGGTTACATTATTTATCAATAATTAACTATTATTCTTTAGCATGTATTTGCCAGCCTTGCCTTTATATTGCATGTGTTCTTATGACCACTTGCTTAGTTTATTCAAGCGCTACAGACTACATTGAAACGCAGATCTCTAATCATGGATTTGTTTCTCCAATAGCTGTGTTTACATTTTTACCTCCCCAGAGAATATTTGTGCAGTGTAAAGAATGCAGTTGTCTTGCCAATCTTTCACGGACAGTTTTTATCTAACTGATTGTTTCTAGTATCTAAACAGTGGATCTCAAACTTGAGGTCCATTAATAGCACAGGTATTATAGGTCTTTGTGGAATATGGCATAGGAATGTACAAATTCCGGTTCCCAGTTAAACTATGCTTGGAGTATATAGGTTCGCCACGTGCCTACAGGAGGATTTGGACAGTGGCAAAAAAAAAAAATTTGCCAGCCTAGTATAACCCAGCATGCCTCACTTTTTTGATAGTGTGCTAGACGTCTTTTCTTTACTGCTTAGAAAAGGCTAACTTTTTTGTTAGCTATTTTTTTTTCTCTTTAATTAGGTTATTTTATTCTGCACTCCAGATTCCTTTACAAAATGCTGAGCCAGTCTCTATATGCAGCTATGAGGATCGGCAGCTCCTCACTAGTAGCTTTGCAGGCCATACTCAGACCCCACTGGCCAATCTGTGGGGCTTGTCGTAACCTTGCAGTGTAACCTTCGGGCACTGGGCTCTGCATTGTGGTGCTTTTCAGACTTGAGTGTTAGCGACACAGAGCCTTCCGGCTCCAGAACTGTGGCACAGCCCCATGTGCGACCCTATCTCTTTAGACCAATTTTGTGAGTAGGCTGTGTGGGCTGAGCACTGGGAGCTACCACATTACTGGGGCCACTAAGAGCCATTTTATATCCCGTCTCTCAATCAGTTTTACAAAGAAGGGGTTATTCCTGTGGAACTAAGCACTGATATCATCCGGTTTACCCTGCTCTGCTGCCTACCTTCAGTGACCTGGGTCACCTTAGGCCACCTGAATCTTTTCTGCTACCAGTAGCTGGTTTATGATTATTCAGGGCCTGGCCTGGTACCCTGAGCTATGTTACTCCTGCCTTTGTGTTCTTTCTCCTATATGGCCTATCCTCCACACTTTGACTGGTCACCAAATAGTTGGTGTCAGTTCTGGATGGCAACGTGTCTTAAACACTCCAGACTTTGTGAAGGTTTGGTTAAGTCCTGAACTTTCAGAAGCCATCACTGGACTCATTGCTATAAGTATCCGGGTCTTATCCTAGAAAAAACAGATTTTTTTTCTTCCCCAGGATGAGCTTGAAACTCTCAGCTGCCAGCCTCAGACTCTTCTCTTCGAGGGTCCCCCTACACTTCGCTTCTGCATGCACAGTCCTGTTTGCAACTCCAGACCCCTACAACTCAACATCCTGTCAGCCTGGGACAAGTCAGGTTAGTCCTTAACCAGACCAATTCCCCTAAAAACAAAGACCAGGTCATCCCAGGTTTGGTAGCTTAGAAATTCTTGTCTGATGATGGAGAAGTCTTTTTATTCCGATCTGTTGAAAAATCCTCACAAGGAATGCCAGACTTTTGAGTTGGGGAGGAGTCCTTGACACCTTATCAGTGCAGGGGACTTGGATCTCAAAGGATTCTAGACAACCAAATCACCCTGAAGTTCCAGAATGCTGATTGGTAGACTTTGCAACACTGAATCTGATCAGCAGTTTAAAAATGCCACGGCAGTGGTGTATATCGATCATCAGGAACCAGACGTCTTGCATGGCAAGAGAGGTAGAAAGAATTCTCTTCTGGGTAAAGCTATATGTTCCAACCTTGCTCGCCATTTGCATCCCATGTGTGGACTATTGGCAGGCAGACTTCATCAGTTGGCAGTGCCTGGACCTGGGGGAATGGTCCCTACACCCGTAGGTGTTCTATGACCTCTATCACTACTGGTGAAAGCCAAATGTGGATCTAGGTTCAGCAACCTAGACAAGTTTGTCTCCAGATGCAGAAATACTCTGGATGAGGCAGTGAATGCACTGGTGGCTCATTAGGATCAGTACACCCTGATCCACACCATTCCTCCTCTAAAATACCTTCCTTGTTTGCTCTGTAGGATAGAGATACTAGATCCTGCAAAATGGGCCAGGTATCTTCCCTTAGTGCATTTCCACACCTATCTTCACAGCATTATGGGTCCCAACCACAAGAAACTTTTTTCCGGGGTTCTTAAGAACCACGCAGCCGACACCATGAAGGCAACATGGCGGCTCCACGCGTTGATCCTCCTTCTTTAACCCAGCTCATACCACAACCAGACGACCCCCCTCCCCTGCTTCCTCCCAACATATTGCAGCCCCCTCGAACGAGGATAAGGAAGAGGGTGAGTTCCGCCGGGTTCTTACTCACCTGCCCACAAAGCGTTACATGGAAGCACTCTTCACTTGCTTTGAAGCTCTCCACAAGCAGCACAACAACATCAGCAGCTCCAAACAATGTGGCTCCTTGACTTAGAAGACAGGAGCCGACGAAATAACATTAGAAAATGTGGCACCCCCAAAGCCACCGGTTCTGCTGACCTGGAACATACAGTGCTGGGCATTCTCAACACATTCCTGAGTCGCCTGGTAACGCATGCTCTTGAGAAAGACGGGGTGCATCGTGTCACCGACTTTTGCAAACCTTCCATACCTCAACAATGCGATTTCCTTCGCAGGAGTCATTTCTTTCGACAAAGTGGAAATCATGCTCTAAGTCAGAGAAAAATTAACACTGGACTTTGATGGGTCAGAGATCGCAATTTTTCCGTATCTCTCTTAATACACACTTGCCACACGAAGAGCCCTTCTTCCCTTAACCAGGCTACTATGAGAACCTTAATATCTCCTACCGATGGGGATATCCCTTCCATTTGCTTGTCAGAAAGAATGGTGAATCGGTCATATTCCATTGCCCTGCTGATCTTGGCAGCTTTGTCAAAACCCTTGGGATCTCCTCCATGGAACTGGAGCCCTGGCTGGACCCCCTTGCTTCTGCCTTCACCTCTCTTCCGAACTAACCTTCATAGACCGCTTACCGTATATACTCGAGTATAAGCCGAGATTTTCAGCCCATTTTTTTTGCTGAAAAGTGCCCCCCTCGGCTTCTACTCGAGTCAGCGTCATTTCTTCTTACTTACCTCGCCGAGCGTCGCGTCACTGCTGCTCCGGTGGGCGGCGCTCCGAGCGGGGTCATCTGGCAGTCTCTGGGGGGGGGGAGAGAGATTTATTAAGCAATTATATATGTATTGTCTGCACTGTATTAGCAGTATATACTACATATAGAGTATATACTGCTAATACAGTGCAGACAATACATTTACACTAACATGAATGTATTAAATGATCTGTATGTAGCCCTGAACTATGGATCATTTAACCCATTCATGTTAGCAGAGGATCATTGTAAACGTATTGTTGCAGGCACTCTATATGTACATGTACTATATACTACATATAGAATGCACTGAACAATAGATTTACAATTATCCTCTGCTAATATGAATGGGTTAAATGATCCGTAGTACATGATATGTAGCCCTGTACCCCCTTTTCCACTTACAGAGCTAGGTTATTTTTCTTTTAAATAAATATTCATGTAATTTTATTGGTATCTATCTACCAGTAGCTGCCTCATTTCCCACCCTCGGCTTATATTCGAGTCAATACTTTTTCCCAGTTTTTTGTGGTAAAATTAGGTACCTCGGCTTATATTCGGGACGGCTTATACTCGAGTATATACGGTACTCCATTTAAGGCCATTTGCCTGTCACTTTCCCCTCCTCCTCATACCATTTCTTTGCTATATCGCTTTTTGATATCCTTGCAATCTCCTGCACACCCCTACTTAATGAAAGCTTGGGAACGCAATCTTGCTCAGAAACTTCACACATAAGATATTCATCACCAGTTTAGCACAGGAAACGGGATACAAACATTTGCCCCAGCCTCCCCCAACAAATTTTCCCTGCCTCTTCGCCTTTGTGCTGGCGTTGCACTTCTCAAATTGGTTCTCTATGCCATATCTGGTGGGCATGTCCATTGATAGCACCTTTTTGGGACCAAAATGTCACTATTTACCAACATGCAATGGATTCCTCCCGTAATCCCTCCCCAAAGGTTTCTTTACTTCTCTATTTAACCCAGATATTGGAATTCAACTAGAGTTCCTACTGTAAGAGAAGGAATTGGAGAATTCTGTCACATTATGCATTTGGAACAACTGACGGCACACCTACTTGATAGGCAATCAACATTTAATGAAATTTGGACTCCCTTGCTTTTGTACATGGACTCAGATCACTTCAGGTCTTCTTGATTCCTGCAACTAGATCGCTTGGCTTCTTATCCTATCCACTCAACTTCTACTGCTTAACTTACTTTTCTTTCCTCCACTTTTTGCTCTCCTGATCCCTTCTCCTCCCTCTACTTCCTTTTCTCTTTTTCCCATCTCCTTCCCTCCCCTTACCTTTCCATCTTTTTCACACTCTCTTTCCACCCCCCCCCCCCCTTTTTTTTTTCATTATGTCCATTGCATAAGAGGAAGGGAGGAAGGGGTTTTGCAGGTCACAAAAACACAGCCATGGGGGGCTGGTGCCATTGTTTGAGATTTCTGTTCAGTTGCAACTTTTTTTTTTCTTTTTTTTATCCCCTCATCAGGTGAATTTGGGTTGTGTTTGCATCCAGATTGAGTCAGAAAAACTGATCCTTTTTTCCTAACCTGAGGGGTCTTTTATTATCGTATGCAATGTAATACTTGACAAAGATAGTCATATTTCACCTGTTTCTTTTAATTTGTTTTATAGGTCTTGCTTAAAATCTTAATAAAATCGTATTACTTAAAAAGCTGGGGAAAATGGAATGTAATTGTTTGTTTTTTTGTTTATTACAAAACCTACAGATTATTGTTATTGCATGCGCTGCACAAACTGTTGGTGCTATATATTATTTATAATGCCTTTGTTTTACCTTGCATTATTTTTAATGCAGGGTTCACAAATAAATTCTGATGTTTGAAACATAAAACATTTTAGTTTATGCACTATGCTGATGCTTGCACTGCCTTTTGTTTTCAACCTTAGCATTACCTGTTGTATTTACTTCTTGGTGAAGGGGTGAATAATTATCACTGAGATTTCTGAGTTTGTCCATTTTCTTTAAGGCTGTTATATTTTGGATCACACCATTTTCAAAGCATTCGGCATGAAAAACCAGAATGCTCTAAGGTACCCATGGGAGTAATTATTGAATATCTGTGAACACCAAGAAAACATGCCTTATGCCCATAAATCACTGCAGTCTGCTTGTTAGAAAAAGTGGGAGCATATGTTTATTATGGCCTAAGGCTTTAGATGCAGCTCGCACAGGTGTGCTGCAGGACACAGATGGAGGTGCCTTGCTGCGTAAGCTTAGTTTGTTAGGAGAGAGAGTTTTTTTTTCTCTTCAGTAATGTTTTGGCATACTTCTTATTTTTATTACTGTATCACTGTCATTTAATTAAAGGTAATACCGGGAAAGAAGTATGCCGCACGTGTTGCACCTAATCATCTGAACGTGTACATAAATCTTGCAAACTTGATCCGTGCAAATGAGTCAAGGCTGGAAGAAGCTGATCAGTTATACCGACAAGCCATCAGCATGAGACCAGATTTTAAACAGGCCTATATTAGCAGGTAAGCTGTTCAAGTAATCCAAACAGTTTAACTTATTTTTAGTTTTGTGTTTTACTACTTTTACAATTTATAAATAGCTTGTCTCTAATAAGGGATACCATTTTAACAGATTCATCCCTGTTTTGACTGCTGTCAGTTCTGAACTATATGACCTCTTTGAGGGCATGATTACACCTATGGGTAATAAAGCATATTAAAGTGTATTTAAACCCCAACAATAGACTACTTTTATTTAATCCATCCCTTTTGATCTGCTAAATACACTAGCAAAAGTCTTTTGTTATATCTGTTTTAGAAGTGCAAAAAATACCTGTTGATTTTGCCAGAAACATTCTAAAGTTATAAGTTTCTTTGCTCAAGGGAAGGTAAGGAGGGTGGAGGAGATGAGTGAGGTCTGTGTCCTTTTGTAATGCATTATAAGTAAAGTAGGCAGGGCTTACATTACCTGCTTTGGAATTTAGACACAAAAATACACTGTGTTGACATTTTAAAGAGGAAGGTAGAACTATAGTTCTGGTACACAGAGTATCTAGCGTCATACTATTTTGTATTGCTCTAAAATGTATTGCTGGGATTTGTAGTCCCCTATAGCTGATGGTATTCTGAATTGCTGGAATTTGTAGTCCATCTACAGCTTGGAGTCAGTGGCAGAACTACCAGAGTCGCAGCAGTTGGGTCTGTATTGTTTTACAAAAACTGTCACATGGCACTAAAAATAAAGTATCAGTAATTTACATCCTGTGATAGCTCCACAAATGTTTGTCAAACAAAATGTCCTGATCCTATATCACAAAACAGAGGGAGTTAATTTTGGAAGTAAAGGGTTATGCAGCTACATGTAGGTGACTGGACACTGGCAGGTATCCAGTCTCCTGGCAGTCCTGACATAATCCCTTCCACTCCCAGCCTGCTTCAGCATTTTGCTTGTGTCCTTAGATGATGGACCCTACCTCTCTGCTCTGACCAAAGCACACATTTTTTTTCTAGCAAGTTTCACCTAAGTTACTCATAGCCACCCATTTTTTGCCCAGCTAAGCCTTGGCAGGCTATACCCAATCCCCTCCATAAGGAAGATGTGGGGCTGATCTGCAATGTTGCTTAGTGCGCTGAAACTAGCCTGGGGTGATTGCATGGGATGCTCACCTAGCACGATGTGCAACACGTTGAGTTAGCCACAGAATGCTATACAGGTCCAGACCTCTCCTCACCAAGGTCCCTGTTCTGGCTTTGGTCTTAAAGGATCCATATAGTGTGGTACTTGAATGATGATACAAACCCTGCTGAGCTAGAACTCAACACTGGAGCCCTCTGATCATTTGGAATACATGAGCCTAGTCTTGGACACTGCCTTGTCCAGTGTCTTTCTTTCCCTGGAAAAGATGAAAACGCACTGCCCTGTGTGTGCTGTGTTGGTGTGCATTGCGATAAAATGCTGCAGGTATACATTTTATCACAACACAGAGGGTTACAGATTGCAGCACCTTGTCACAAGGTGCTGCCATAAACAAACATGAATTACTGTAATTTAAATATGTTTTAAGTACTTGTTCCATACCTGTTGAACTGTATTTTTCTGGAAACCACCAGACATGTAAGGTGTGAACAGGGCCCTGTTCACACCCTACCTGTGCAGTGTTTTGCAGAAAAATGCATCCCAACAAATGAATTTGGTGAATTTTCATTGGTCTAAACGGACCCCTGATGTTTCAGTTTTGTGATAGAAAAACAGATTGAGTCTATAGAGTCCTTTAATCTCCTTCTGCCTTGCTGTCAATCACCTATTTCTGAACACTGAAGTGCTCAGTACCGAATATGTCTGTGTTCATTCACAAATGGAATGGATAGTTCTAAGAACTTCTGTGTTTATTCAGGAAGTGAAGGGGTTGGTAAACATGAGAGATATGTTTGCTGATCCCCCTCTCACCATCCTTAACAGATCAGATACTCCTTGCTGTGTACCTACAGTATCGTCCCCTCCAAAATTCAATGTCTCTTTTGTGAGAGATGGGGTTAGCGCAGTGGAACTCGTAGAGCACCCAAGAGGGGGAGAGCTGCGGTGATTGGAGGGCACACAGGAGGGAAAAGAACAGCAGTGATCGGAGGGGACACAGGAGGGAAAGTACATTGATTATTAGAGTGCATACATCAGGAGGAGAGCAGTGATGATTAAGGGGCACACAGGAAGGAGAGAGTGGGAGACAAGTTTTGGAGGGGATCTGATTGGGGGCACACATCAGTGACGGGCAAGGCACATTGCAGGGAGTCGGTCACATTTTCGTATGTGTGGCTGCAGTCCGAGGATTTTCAGCCACTGATCTAGGCTATTCATTAAGCAGCAGAGTCTAGGGGACCCTTCTGCTATAAGGTTATGGCCGCTGATGGAACCATGTGCTTATAGCAGAAGGATTTACCAATGTAAGAGTTACTGGACTGGTCTGCTGTAAGCAGATCTGTTCTGCCACAACTCTTACGTTGGTGGCATTGGAAAGGTTAAAGACATAGAAAATATAAGGAAATGAGCATGGTATTGTACAGATGTATGGAAAAAAAACTTTTTTTGAGGGGTGGGGGGCTTAGGGGGTGTTGGTTGCCTTGACAGATTTAATGTTTTGCTTGCAAAAACTTATAGGCTTCCAGAAGGGCATATTTAGATGGACAACTAGGTAATTATTTAGAACAGGTAACACTCCCAGTTTTGGAGTTGGGGGATATAGATTGTTTAGATTCTGCTTGATCTTTGGAAGACTGGAAAGAGCACTAGAGGCTCTTCCTAATAATAAAAATGCTGGGGTGGGGGGACTCTTAGCAGAAATATATGACTTAAAAGACATCCTTTTGCCATCACTATTGGATAATATAAATGAATCTTTTTTGCTCAATTTACAACCATCCTTTATGTTTAGGGCAATACTGGTGGCTATATTGAAACCAGGTAAGAATCCAGATTCATGATAAAAAGAAGTAAGTCACCAGCACTTCAGCAATGCAGTAACTATGAGCACCCACGTGAGTTATATCTGATCAAGCACGTCAGGACTGTGCAGATTTAGGTGAAATTTACTGTGCATCCATATTCATATCCTTGCTTACAGTAGAGGTAAAAATGAATAGCTAAAATGTTAGCAAATCACTTTGTTGCAGTGTAATTTAAAATGATAAATCATAATCAAACAACTTTAATAGCTGATAAAACGAAATTTCCTAATATTCAACAATTTTTTTTAAAATATACAAATACCTCCAGATTCCAGAGCTAGAGCAATATTATGCCTAGATCTGACTTTTTTTTATAGTATTGAGTAGACCTATTTCTGGCCAGTGATGGAATAGTTTCATTTCGGCCCCAAATTTGTAAAATGTGTAAAAATGTTATATCGGAATCTTTAAATAAGAATTGGAAGAAATACTTGTTTGTCTCCTAAATTTAAATCAACGTGACACTTGTCAATAATGATATTTATCTCATTATTTATTTAAATTGCATTATATGCTGATCTTCTATTTTCAGGTGACACAAGCAGCTCTTTAAAACATGTTATGACGATTTCGATCTTTGGTCACTTTTCAGGATTATTAAATAGTTGGAGTAAGTCTGTATTACCTATCAATGAGCTGACATTTCCTGTACCCTGCTTTTTGCATCCATTAGGATGGTTACCTTTTTTAAATACTTAGGTTTGATAATCTATGCCAGTCCTAAAATGTATCCAACTGATAAGGGAGGTATCGTTCTCCTCCCAGTTCATGGATTTTATACAGTATATAGCTGCACAGATGCAGCATTTTCATGCAAGAGAATCCTCCCTTTTTATTTTAAATTGGTGAGTCCATGTGTGGGGCAGACGCTATTTAAAGGGATTTTGTATTTACTAGGTGTTGCCCCACTTTTTCGACTAATTAATAAAATTTGAACACTAGTTAAAGTAGAATTAAACTCTCAAAACTTTTTTCAATAATGTATCCAAATCAACCAAATACACATTTCCCAGCAAAGTTTTTTTTTAAGGTTTGTCCAAGCACTTAGTCATCATATTTTCGAGCAGCTTGTGTCAACTCTCTCAGCTCTGCCTCACTAAATAACCTGTTGTGTACAAGATAGCAAAGCACAAGGCAGTTTCCAGCAGCTATTCATCTACGAGCTTGGACAAGGAAAAAATTAGGAGGGAGCAGCATCTATGGTAAAGGATTTATTCAGCATTTGAAGTAGCTTAAAAACATTATAACCCCAATAAGGAATTATTACAGAATACATTACAGTCGGCAAAGTACAAATCGTGGAGTACATTACATCATCCTCATCCTGTAGCCAGCCGGCCACACGAGATATGCAAGATATTCTGTTATTTTCTTCTTGAAAACAGGTAGAAAGTAAAATTCTTAATAAACAATGAACAATTGGTTTCAAAACATTGACCTCCATGCACCACCATAATCATTACTCAGAGAAAATATAAGTATAAGTTATACACGGGAACGTGCGTGTATTATGAGAGATTGCAAAGCTATGTAAGGAGAATGTCGATTTGGTGGTGGAGGGGGGGGGGAGACGGGGGTTGTGAGATCCATAAAGCTTGTTGTATTTTGTTATATTTTGCTATAGTTTGTTATATTTTACTGCACTGCAAAATAAGCCAATCAGTGATAATATTATATGTGGGAATACCAATCTATCTGCTGATAAGTGGAAAAAAAAGGAGAGGGTAGTGAAATGAGAATTGGAAAATGAAAAGTATCAAGGATTTCACTCGGGAGAACTCCTAACCAAGATAAAAATTAAAAATAGAGATGCCAATAAAGATACAGATACCATCGCCTTTTGCTCCTTCTGTGTTTGGGTGTGATTTCCCCTTGTCAGGATATGAAAATTATAACACATCTAGATCACCTAAGGACCCATCTAGTTTAGCCAGGAGGTACCATGACGAGTGCTGAAATAGCAGCATCACATCCTGCAATTGGGGTTTAGTCAGTTCATGTAGTAAGAATGGAGTCCAGGTTTC